AGAAAAAAAGGCTTGCTAGCTTACTCTCTGGGTGGTGTGTAAGCTTCAGAAAATGGCATTTTCTCCTGCAGACAAAAGAGTAAAGCCAAGACAACATTTTGTTAAAACACTTCCTCCCCAGCAATTTAACCATGAATGTCGTCTGTGAATGGGCTAGAGTCAGGTTGACGAAAAAGTAAGACAATCTTCCCTATTGCCTTGTGTTCATTTTTCTTTACTTCAACAAACGAAACTAAATTCAAAATTTGTGAGTGTGTGTGTGTGCGTTGGTGGGGGTGGGGGGGGAAGTACCTTGAGGACCAAACCAGATGTACTACTACAGGCTTTTCCTCGTCCATCTGAAACATAAGATGCAAATTATGAAAATTGCAATTGTGAAATGATGGTAGCAATAGGTAAAATATAATACCTGCACGTGTATCCCTTTCATGTGATCTCACATTTCCACTGCACAGGACATTGATCACAAAGAAGAATGTAAAAATTACATTTGTCAAATGCCACAACTGATAGCTTATCAAGAAACAAGCATAAGACAGACAAATTGACGGAATGTGCGAAAGCTCACCCCATTAAGTCTTGATTTTCCAGGTCTAGATCAAATGTATCAAGCTCAAACCTCTTAGGTAAAGTGATAGAATAGTAACGCGTATGTGAGTGCCCAATTCTGGCTCGTTTGTCTTTTACAGTCTTCTGGCCACATAATTTATTCAGTACTTCCTGGCAATCGTCAAATAAATATCCAACTTTCTTCGAGTATATTCTCACGACGCCCAGGAGAAGGAAAGCTAAGATTCTATGAGTGACCACAGGAACTTCATCATATAGAATCTTATCTGAGAGGCAGCCGTCACAGAAAAATGAGATGAAGTGTATCAAATCAAATATACAACAAGCAAATGAAAATTACTACTACTACTAATAATAACCACCGATAAATTCCCTTTAGGCTTTTGCATAATGACTTCATGTGTCAAAATTCCTAAAATGGCGACTCTTTGAGTAAGGCAAAGAAAGCCAACGTGCAGGGAAAGAACTGTATCTTGACATGAACATTGTTCAGTACTATCACATGAAAAAATAAGACAAGTAGCCTTCCTACAAATTATAACACAGATTATTAAGTAGCCACACCTATATAGTATCTTCAACGTTAGCACATCTGCCTAATAAGTTACTACATCACCATTGTCGTTTTATTCTTGACATATTTGGTAGTACGTTGACTATTTTCCATTCAAATTACAGGTGGAAAGACATCATAAACCTTTCGAACCTATATCCCCCTTACATGATAGCAAGGAATGGCGTCATATATACAGATACAATCATCCATAGTCCAATGGAGTAACTACAGCTAGCAAGTAATAACATTATCCATAATTTTAGGAATTCAAGGAGAGAGGGATAACTCTAAACTCGTAGCCTGACATGTTTTCTCCGGTCTCCAAGCGAAAAATAAAATAAATAAATAAAAATCCAAAAGTAAGAAAATGACAAGTTTGAAACACAGCTAAACCAGTTAATCAATTAAACCGCAAGGTGCCATCCTAGTTGATACAAGTTATGTATGGGTGTTTGTGTGTGTGAGATACAAATGGATTGTTCTGAAAATGTATAGAACATTTGATATAAAAGTTTCTAAAATTATGAACAACTGTATAAGACCAAGCATTGGCTAGCCAAATTCCCCTATAACTTATAATTACCACAGAAGATTGTCAGATAAAAAAATAATAAAAAAATAAAAATAAAAACTAACAACAAGCATCCCGGAGAAAGGGCTCGCTAAGGAAAATAGTTTGAAATCGAAACACACACACACACACACACACCACAAAATGCTAACTTTCCAACAAAATGTTAAGTGCAACCAAGGGGGAAAAGGGGGTCTTTGAGATCTGCATGAAAAGAAGCAAAGAGAGATGACGCGAGAAGCAAAAAAATGATGAGAGACATACCCACAGAAGAAGAAATGTTAGTCTGCTGGACTTGGTCTTTCTTGAGCCTCCGGTGACAATGAGCGGCCAGCCAAACGATGCCTAAGGCACCTTTCTTTGATAGCAATAACTGCGAATAAAACATGCCCTCTTCTTCTTTCTCTGGCTCACAAACTCAAAAGCTTGTCTGTCTGCAACTGTGGAATGGAAGGGAAAGGAAACTTGCGTTTTTGTGTATGTATACAAAGGAAAAAAACGGTCGACTTCCAGAGCCTCCAGGGAGAGAGGAGGTGTGCTACTGCTATGAAAGAATCTTTTTTCTCGAGAATCGTATAAAAATGAGGTTTGCTTTTTGACGAGGTTGTTTTGTTTTCACCGGACCGCCTGCCGAGTTTCGGATAAACATCCAATTTACTTACCATTTCACCCATTTATCCTTTTTTTTTTTTT